GACTTAAGTTGAAAAATTTTAGTCAATTAGAGTATGTAATCTAACTTACTAACTCAATCTTACCATAGTTGCTATCTAATTAACCTTGTTTGTATATTAGATCATTCTTGTATTACATGATCAATTATGTAAACTTGACAGACCCCATGTACACACACAAAAATAACTTATACATGAATGTGGTTGTACAGCTATGTGAATGAATTTGCCGAAAAGCGTCTCTTCGCTGAACGTCTTCTATTCTTCTTATGACTGTATAACTGCTGAATGCTAACCTGAACACTTGTCTTAGTACCACTACCTTTTTATGACAAACACTTATGTCTCATCGAATTTCCTGACGATTCATCACAAACATTTCACTCTTGCAAGGGATGAAATATGTGTTCAGTAATTACAAGCGGAAACACATCCCCGTTACCTTGTCTTATATTCATCAATCATTTCTACTTACATATCTGAGAATAATGTCAACCACTAGATCATGCATTGATGTTTATGAAGGTAAGCAGTTTCAGTCTCGGTCAAATCGTATTTTCACGTCTCGATTCTTGATGTAATATGAAGTTTGTCTATTCTTCCGCTACTTCACTGCTGGGAACGCAATTTCTAAGCAACAGAATCGTTTCTTCGAATGTTTCAGTTCACTTGTCTGATTTTACAATGTTTTGTTTATTCATTTATTTATTAAAAGAAGTGGAAAAAGAATGCTGAATATTTAAACACTAGTGATATTTATCGATGCTTGCATTCGAAAGCCTCCCATTCAGCGAATTCTGTCATTATACAAGTAACGATAAACTGTTCTACACGAAGATATAAACGACAAATCTATATAAAATTGTGTTTATGCAGGGTGTTTATATTCTCTGAGACATGCACAAACAATCTTACTAGACCTTCTCCATTCAACAACAATAAAATTGGACATAATATGCAGATATGGTGAATTCAAGTGCCTCGGTGGCACAGTGGTTAGGACTCTCGCCGACCATGCACATGGTCCGGGGTTCGATCCCCTGCCGGCGCACACCCGATATCTATGGTCGGCCTGAATTTGGGCTACCGATATCCATGCTGAAAATTCCACACTTGTACTGAAAATACGGTGTGGAATCAAGCTGTAAATCAAAATAAAAAAAATAAAAATAATAAGCTAGCGCATAATGAATAACAGGAAAACTGATGTTAACAACAAATGAAGCAAAATGAACTACTTACTTTAAAACAGAGTGCAGTTTGTCAGCTGTAGTATTTATAGGACTTTTGTATAACGGTGTCACGAGATTTTAAACACATTCATCTCACTCTGTATACTTTAATTTGTCCTTTGCTTTCCATTCATTTTGAAGTGTTTATATTATTCCTAACTACTAAAGGTTCTAAGTATTTTCTCAGACATATTCCATTGTAAGTGTGAGTCAGTTGTTTTTTTCAAACAAATATCAAAGTTTGTGTAAACAAACTTAGAACAAATAAAGACATGAACACTCATGAAAAATAAATTCGATAAACAACCACACAGATGTCATGTGTTGAATCTTATTAAGATTCTGTCCATGGGAAATATGATTCATAGTTGTTTGAGTGAGAGCGTTAATGACTTGAAATGTATGATGGCAGTGATTCATTGAAGAGTAAGGTTATGGCATACTTGACATTCGTTTCGCAAATAGGTAAGAGAGCAATCTGTTCGAACTTACTAAATCTACAGCGGTGTTCCAAACGTCAGCCGCCAGTGCAATCCAAAAAATTCTGAAATGTGGTACGATGATTGTTAGAAATTGTGCCTCTTGTGAAAACGTAAAAGATAGGTGTTAGTGCGGTGAACCAAAATGAGGTGAAACAAGACAGTGTGTTTGCTGATGCAAGTGTTGGAATTCGTGCACTGTAGTAGGTAAGTTAATTTAATTATTGATTACACATTGACGCAGTTTAAGCAAATGGATGATGTTTCTAGCATAAATTATTGCTCATATTCATTTCAATTTAGTCACATGTCCTTACATTTTGTCTAATATATAGCTCCTTTCTCTCCATCTCTCCGATTCCCTATTTTGTTTTTGCCACTTTCCATATCTCCGGTATAGGCGTTATGTCATTCCGATTGCAAGGGTGCAGTGTTGATCCGATAAACAAAGCTTCACTACAATTGTAAAATGTAATATGTGCAGGTTGAGTAAGATACTGGTCGCTGCATCTTTTTCATCGAATCTACACCCAACATTATGCAATATGATAGACGAAATGGTAATACCAGAAATGTGGGAATATCATTAACAATTACACCAAAATGTATGAAACAAGGAAATTTTGCAAACGTATTTTGAAAGTTATTTTAATTATTGCCCTTATACAATTATGAACATTTTATTGTGTTCAAATAGTTGTGAACGTCTGATACTGCATCACTGGATGCTTCGGTTAGATAGATTTATTCTGTGATGTAAAATTACACGTACTTCAGACTTCCAGGTATTGACGAAAAAGGAGTGGTGTGGTGGACGAAATTCCTGTCTTTATTTCATTTGACCCAACTTGTGGTACTGTATTTTTTCTCGCTCCCTAATATTACTGGTTGCGTAGTTCATTTTGCACTGAATATTGCAAGTCACTGAGTAACCCTTATTTTAAATCAAATCCAGCTTCATTATGAAATCAACTGTCATCCGAATCAGACGTGTTTACTAATTTCAGTGTTTACTAAAAATTAGACTTTGAATCTCGTCAATATTAAACGAAATATTTGTTGAATTTACATATAGAGTAAAATGTCTTTATTGTATTTACTAACAATTACTGAAAAACACTGAATAATTTCAGAGTACACAGTTCTAAATCGTCGAGACTGTAAGGCTAACTCAGACGAATGAATAAGTGGAGACTAGTGAAGTAAACAAAATAATCCCTAATATTACAATCTTCATCGCCTGAAAATGTTTACATTATTTCACTACTTATTGTAGTAAGCGTTGATTAGAGTCCATTATTCGAAAAAAAACAATAACGATAAATCTACCTTTCATAACTGACTTGAGAATTATTTCTTTTGTAAATATTGAGATGTTAACTGAAACGATTTGTCTAATCGTGTGCTTTACAGTTAAGTGTAAATAAGTAGTCAGTAGGAATCAACGATTGCCACACTGACAAAAAGCATCATACGTATATCCTATGTTGGGTATTTCTCGCTAAATTTGAATTTTTTCTAGTTGCTTAACTACGCAAATATGAATCATTTCACACTCTGTTTTTAGTCTGGTGAATTCTCAGATTATATTTCTTTAAAGATAATTTACTCATATCCATAATTAGTCTCTTCCATTATCACTGACGATTTGGAAGTGTTCCCTTTAGTATGTAGTGCTTATCATGAAATCTCGTGCTAGCCACCTGATAACTTAATCACCTATTACAGCAAATCCATTGGTGATCGACGAAAAGCGTAGTTTGGGAAGAACAATATATCCTTATTTGCAATCGCCTTCAGGCATTACAAATTTTCTTATATGCAGTTGTCTGCATTCGCAAATCAACTCCAATTTAAAGACAAATTTGTGACTACACTCATCAATCACGATCTGAAGGTGTTAGTCTTACATCATTTTTCATGAAAATCATCAATGTAGATAACTGTTCTCTATAGTTAGCATATATTGTATTTATTTCATTGGAATAGTACCTCTGCAACAGGTCATAAATGTGTAGTTAAGGGACGAATAAATCTTGGACATTAACTTCAAAATGCATGAGAAGGACGCCAACAACTGATCATTCAACTAGAGATGAAGAGCCAAGAAGCACCACATTTCGCTTCAAAATTACTGGATGTAAACTAAGGGCACGTTGATCAGAGTCAAAATAAGTAAAATTAGCCATAATTGTTTTTTTTTATCTTGAGGCTATTCTCCTTTTATAAAGCTCTCTTCCTTCATAACAGCATGAAGGAATAATAGTGGCCATTAAGGATTTTTTGGTTTATCGACTTATTGTAAATTTTCTGCAACACCTCTTTTGACACACATTTCATCTGATAAGAAATGTGTAAGGCGTGAATCCGCTAACTTATTGAGAAATATTTAGTGAACAGCCCACTTCATTCTTGCATTCTGTAACATAGTGTTTTTATCATTTATATTTCATTGAAGTTATACTTCAATATTCTAAGGAACACTGAAATAATTCACTATGGAACTAGGAATAGTAGTGGATTTTAAAGCCCAAAAGAAATGTCTATCTGACTAATTATCGATAAGACGAAAATAATTACTCTAAAAAATGTAGTTGAAGGTATTATAGGGTCTCCACAGATTGGTGTGCTAGCTGTTCAGTATAGAGTCCATTGTGAATCTGACGACTCGCAGCACAGTCATTCTATAATCGTACACCATGAAAGAAACTTTCACACGAATAAAGTTAATGTAACTTCTAGAAGCCGACATGTCAACCTGAGACCGAGCACTTCGATCCAATCAATCGACGGTAAAATCCAAAATTCAATTAAATCAATATGGCCCGTTGCACTAGAGGTGGCTCTCGTGGCCCCAGTGGTCTAGTGGATAACGCTTTGGCGCTGGGTTCGAGCTTCGGAGGGAAAATCATAACTCACTGAGAAATGCAGGTACATCCAGATGACGAGTCTCAAATAGGACGAAATGCGCATCCTGGATTCCACTCCTAGTCACCATCCACCGATTAAATAACTTCATAATTTTTTGACTTTTTCAATATTCCATTGTTTTTTGCATTAGCCACTTTTCATCAAGTAACCTTAACTGGTTGATAGTAGAGAAACATTTTCAGTCGTGATTTAAATTATTAAATAAACATGTATTAGACGACTTTATTTTACTTCTGAATACAACCAAGTTTGATGTGAACGGAAGTTTTTATTACCAGTTAATAAACACTTCAGCATAAATGTAAACAAGGTTTGAGACAAAGTTCAGAGAATTAGGTGAATATATATTTAAATATAAGTTGAGCAATAATGCAAGTCCATTTCATAGCGTCTGGTGTAAGATGATTGTTATTTTAGAGGTAAGCACTTCAGTTCTTATGATTTGTAGTTACTATCACTTTCTTGTCATCAATGGCTGCATCCTTCGTTTAATCTTAGGCATTCTTATTTCATGATTTCATGGTTTATGAGGTTTAATATTTGATATGTATATTGAGCAGTCATCACAACATCAGAGAATCTATTGCTTTACGCCTTTTCATTCTTTTCTGGGATTTTAGTGACACATCCCATTACTGATTGCAATTCCAAACATAGTGCATATGTGAGGACAGGCTTTTAGAGGAACTGTTATGGTGAATGAAAACTGTCAATTCACAGGCTGAGTGTTGTCATGTTTCCTTGTGTATACCGATAGTTATTTCAGGCCGAATTTTTGTCTCTGAGATATTTCAATCTTATTTCTTGTTTCCATTATGGGTAAATTTTATTTTGATAGAGTCTCACAGTGTTATACAGTAATATTTACTGATGACGTTTCGAGCACAATTTATTGCTCATAATCATATCATATTTCTTGTTTGATATCGACTCCAACTTTTGAATATTTTAAGATATGAAATTGTCACACAATTAACATATTCATCGATTTCATCGCTAATTTATGTAGGCAATGATCATGCATTGAACCATTCATGCTGAGAAATAAGGACATAGTGGTTTTATCTGAAATCAACAGTCACCAAATGTGTAACCACTGTGGGCAACGCTTCAAAATAGCTTTCTTGATTTTTCTAGAATCACTTACCTAGGACGATATCAGAATTTTTACTAACATGAAGTAAATATTTTTTTCAGGCGTACGCAAGTTCTGCTACTGAATGGAAGTATTATGCAGCAATCGCTTGTGTGTAAGTCTTCCTTCCCGTAATCTTTGAGAATACAACTATTAACTGTAAATGGCTTAAAATACCTTCACATCACTTCGTGATTATAACCGCAAAAGTCAAATCTTGAAATGATGGTGTGCGGTGATGGCGCAGCGGTTAAGGTTGCCGTCGACCATGCACATGGTCCAAAGTTAGACCCCTTCCGACGCACACGCAATATCAATGGTAGGCCTGTGAAGTTGGGCTACCGATATCACACGCTGAAAATTTCATAATTGCAGCGAAAATACGGTGTGGAATCAAGCTATGATCAAAATAAATTATAGAGCAAAGAATCAAACAAACAACTGACTACTACAGATTTGAATTATTTTCTTGTTTACGTAGACACTGTCTTAATCGGTTGTGTGGCGTCGTCAAGGTCTCCTGGCGATGATACATTATTTTGCCCATCTGTTTGCTGTGAATATTGGTTTGATTAAAGTTATTCAAAAGAACTAATATTTTAATTTAAGTCCATATGAATAAATATTTAGTAATTCATCAGTTGTACCTGCGTTCAGATGCTAGTTGAGTGAAAACTATTCGGAATATCGGACTCAGTATAATATTGTTAATAACAAGAAAAACAAACAGAAAGAGTACAAACATGACCGAAAATTCTTTTCCTCAGGACAAACATTAGGCTTTCGTTTCTAAAATGATATTAGTAGGCAAGCAATGAATACTGTGAATCGAAAAGGATTTGTTGAACCTTGGGTATCTGATAACTAGCGAAACGTAACAAAATGAACCTTTTTAGAATATTCGAACAGTATAGCTTAACTGAGTTCATCTGATCGAAAATAATGTATCGGACCAATAAACGTCTAAGCAGTGCTTCAGTTTTGCAATCATACGAGGGAATTTACACTAGGAATGGTTCCTCAAAAGTTCCAAATATGTGGAAACTCCTGCTTCTCTTTACAGCAAATTATTTGCACGGATAAAAGTATGAACTAGCAAGGAATGATGTATGTAAAGCTATTGAATGTTTTTATGTAGAAAGCTTCTTTCATCTTCCGGAATTCATTTTAGCTGTTTTCCATTTACATTTTAGAGTATTGGCTGTGATCTTGTGTATATTGCTATTCGTCAAATTTACAAATAATGTAAAAATTGCGTTGATCCTGATAGGATTCATAGTAAGTTCCTCAGAGATTCACGTTTATGAACTAGCTTCGTTTTCTCGAGATAATTTTGTTTCTATTGTTGATATTCACTCCAAATGGATTAAATTTCAGCAAGCAACAAAGGTGAATAAAGCAGAATTTAATAAATTCACCAATTTGAAGTGGAACATCAAACTCAATAATATTGATAATAGTATTAATCATGGAAAATTCCCATTGTAACATATAGAAAATCAAAACAAATGATTCAGCGAAGAGACTCTTTTCAACGAATTTATCATCAAGCTGTACAATCGTATATATATGGTTTTTAAGAAGTTATATCCGGTGAGGGAATTGAAACATAGGTGTGAATGCATGAAATAATAATAATATGAAGTGCAATTAAAACTAAAATGTTTGTGATTATAATCGTAGTTAAAGGTCAAGTGGCAAAGCAAATTAATGTCATATATAGAATAATTCATAGAATGGATAGAACTTGAAAAAGGTGTGCAATTATAAGATTAGTAGACAAATCGAAAAAATAAAAACGTTACGTAATATTGTGTGAAATTTAATAGCATAGAATTTAATGTTGCATAAAGGAATTGATTTAGAATGACAAGTGGAACAAGTGAAATAATACCGGGGACAATTAAAAATGAGAGTAGTAATAGTAACAATTGACTTAATAAGGAAGAGTATACAAATTGAATAGACAAAAATGAAAAAATGAAAAAATGGAGAGTTGGTAGAGCTAAAGTATGATTGGGGATTACCATACTTTAGCATAGAGGGATTAAGACCATGAAAGTTGGAGGGGTTGAACGAACTTCTTCTGTACACAGAGATCTGGCTTTTCTGTTTCGATAGCCAAAGCTTCAGCAATACAGATGAGTCGGGTACGTAGGGATTTGGGTAGATTACTCTTTGCCTTGTAGATGACTTTGAAGGCGGAGGCTATAGAGATAGGGTGATCATTCTCGACCAGATGTTCAATGATCGCGCTTCTTATTGCTCCACTACCACCTTTTCGTAACCATGCAGGATAGTGTTCTTGCACCCTCTTGGACAAAACTCGTGTCGAACGACCGATATACCTAGCTCCACAAGAGCAGGTGAATTGATAAACACACATAGAGTTGGTCAACAGCGGGATTTTATCCTTCAGGTTATTGAACAATAATGGTCGACTAGAAAAGGCTATTCTCAGGGATGCAGCAGGGAATGTTCTTTTCAGGGATTGTGATATCCTCCGTTTCATGATATCGGAAGCTAAGTCCCCTTTGAATTCCAAGCTCATGTAAAGTGTCTTCTTGGGTACGGTTGATAACTCACGTTTTTTAGGATTTGAATGAATATTCTTATCTATAAAACGTGGTGGAAATCCATTTTCTATTAGGACTTTCCTCAAGATGTATAGCTCATCTTCCACAGTATCAGGGCTACATATGCGCCGAATACGAGTGGCAAGCGACCGGATCAGGTTTCGTTTTCGACCAATGGGTACCCAACTGTAGAAATTTGTCAGTTGACCATTCCATGACAGCTTGCGATAAATCGATCTTTTCAGGGTTCCATCGGTCCTTCTTGATAAGTTCACATCGAGGAAATGCATGCTAGACTCGTTCTCCATTTCGAGTGTGAATTTTATCGCCGGATGGCAACCATTAAATACATCTAATATATTATTTAAGTTACAATCACTATTACAAATAATAAAGGTGTCATCTACGTACCTTTTATACATTTGAAAACTTTGGATTATAGGCTTCAGCTGATCATTTTCTAGACTGGACATAAAACAGTCTGCAAGGAGAGGACCCAAGGGAGAACCCATTGCAATACCATCCTTCTGTCTGTAGATAGCTTCATTAAAAGTAAACTGTACATTCAATGTACATCTCAGAAGTAGTTCTTTCAGATCTGTAGTGGGTATTCCTATATTCAATTTGTTGTCTTCTATATATTTGCATATAAAACATATAGTTTCTGTCAGTGGAACGTTCGTAAATAGGGATTCTACGTCCAAAGACAACATATGTTTATTCGACGCATTTATATCCTGTATACATTCAACAAATTGGAAGGTGTCCCGGAGAGAATGATTAGATAGCTGTTCCCCGACAGGTTCAAGGATTTCAGCTAGCCATCCAGCTACTGGATGATAGGGCGATCCAGACATATCCAAGATAGGGCGGAGTGGAAGGCCAGCTTTGTGTATTTTCGGTAGACCGTAGAGTCTTGGTATTAGAGATCCTGTTGGTCTGATCTTTTCGTATAATTCTTCACGAATGAGATGATTGTTCTTCATTCTTTTTAAAGCTTCTGTAAGTTCTTTTTCAATTAAATCCGTCTTATTTTTCTCGTTCGGTTTCGAGAATTTACTGCTGTCTGAAAGTAGACCTGACATTTTGTCGATATAATCCTTACGATCCATAATAACGACACCTGCACCCTTGTCAGGGCGTGTTAGTAATATATCGTTGTTATGCGTCAAAAGTTTAAGTTCTTCTTTGTGCTGTTTGGTCAAGAGACTTTGCATTTTTGATCTTGCATTAAGGTATTGATTGCAAGAGTCAGTGATTGTAGATTTGAAGCATTGGAAGTCCTGTTCTGACGATGGTGTGAGATCATAAGTTTGACTGAGTAGATTCTCAAACTGGACATGTGTATTTAGCTTGTTGATATTGAGATTAACATCGCAAAACTTCGAACCCATTGACAAGGCTTCCATTTGCAATTTTGATAGGGATATGGAAGAGTGATTGAACACGTATCTCTCACAATTCTCAGGAAATTTTCGAAGACATTCGATAGATTTTAGACTATTAGATAGCTTAGAATTAAAAGACATTGTTTGTTGGTTGGTGACCACGTTGACATATTCATTAAACGTTTGACGTTCTTCAATCGATAAGTCATATAGAGCAGAAGATCTTTGCGATATATTCCTTTCTAACTCAGGGATTCGTGAACTAATAGAGTCAATGTGATTTAATGTGTGTCTCTTGAGAGATTTTGCATTGGGATATATGTGATTGCGTCGGAGAACTTTCCAATACCATTTCGGATACTCATGATTATTGATGCATTCATTAAGAAAACAAATCTCCGCATTCACCACGGCAAGTTTGACAGAATAACGCAGAAACCCATTGAGTTCCTTTACTGTCGAGGGATCTTTGCTATTTTTTAAATCATGGAAAATTCCCATTGTAACATATAGAAAATCAAAACAAATGATTCAGCGAAGAGACTCTTTTCAACGAATTTATCATCAAGCTGTACAATCGTATATATATGGTTTTTAAGAAGTTATATCCGGTGAGGGAATTGAAACATAGGTGTGAATGCATGAAATAATAATAATATGAAGTGCAATTAAAACTAAAATGTTTGTGATTATAATCGTAGTTAAAGGTCAAGTGGCAAAGCAAATTAATGTCATATATAGAATAATTCATAGGATGGATAGAACTTGAAAAAGGTGTGCAATTATAAGATTAGTAGACAAATCGAAAAAATAAAAACGTTACGTAATATTGTGTGAAATTTAATAGCATAGAATTTAATGTTGCATAAAGGAATTGATTTAGAATGACAAGTGGAACAAGTGAAATAATACCGGGGACAATTAAAAGTGAGAGTAGTAATAGTAACAATTGACTTAATAAGGAAGAGTATACAAATTGAATAGACAAAAATGAAAAAATGAAAAAATGGAGAGTTGGTAGAGCTAAAGTATGATTGGGGATTACCATACTTTAGCATAGAGGGATTAAGACCATGAAAGTTGGAGGGGTTGAACGAACTTCTTCTGTACACAGAGATCTGGCTTTTCTGTTTCGATAGCCAAAGCTTCAGCAATACAGATGAGTCGGGTACGTAGGGATTTGGGTAGATTACTCTTTGCCTTGTAGATGACTTTGAAGGCGGAGGCTATAGAGATAGGGTGATCATTATCGACCAGATGTTCAATGATCGCGCTTCTTATTGCTCCACTACCACCTTTTCGTAACCATGCAGGATAGTGTTCTTGCACCCTCTTGGACAAAACTCGTGTCGAACGACCGATATACCTAGCTCCACAAGAGCAGGTGAATTGATAAACACACATAGAGTTGGTCAACAGCGGGATTTTGTCCTTCAGGTTATTGAACAATAATGGTCGACTAGAAAAGGCTATTCTCAGGGATGCAGCAGGGAATGTTCTTTTCAGGGATTGTGATATCCTCCGTTTCATGATATCGGAAGCTAAGTCCCCTTTGAATTCCAAGCTCATGTAAAGTGTCTTCTTGGGTACGGTTGATAACTCACGTTTTTTAGGATTTGAATGAATATTCTTATCTATAAAACGTGGTGGAAATCCATTTTCTATTAGGACTTTCCTCAAGATGTATAGCTCATCTTCCACAGTATCAGGGCTACATATGCGCCGAATACGAGTGGCAAGCGACCGGATCAGGTTTCGTTTTCGACCAATGGGTACCCAACTGTAGAAATTTGTCAGTTGACCATTCCATGACAGCTTGCGATAAATCGATCTTTTCAGGGTTCCATCGGTCCTTCTTGATAAGTTCACATCGAGGAAATGCATGCTAGACTCGTTCTCCATTTCGAGTGTGAATTTTATCGCCGGATGGCAACCATTAAATACATCTAATATATTATTTAAGTTACAATCACTATTACAAATAATAAAGGTGTCATCTACGTACCTTTTATACATTTGAAAACTTTGGATTATAGGCTTCAGCTGATCATTTTCTAGACTGGACATAAAACAGTCTGCAAGGAGAGGACCCAAGGGAGAACCCATTGCAATACCATCCTTCTGTCTGTAGATTGCTTCATTAAAAGTAAACTGTACATTCAATGTACATCTCAGAAGTAGTTCTTTCAGATCTGTAGTGGGTATTCCTATATTCAATTTGTTGTCTTCTATATATTTGCATATAAAACATATAGTTTCTGTCAGTGGAACGTTCGTAAATAGGGATTCTACGTCCAAAGACAACATATGTTTA